CCCTCTCCCACCCACACAGTCTCCCCCGGATCCCCTCTCCCACCCACACAGTCTCCCCCGGATCCTCTCTCCCACCCACACAGTCTCCCCCGGATACCCTCTCCCACCCACACAGTCTCCCCCGGATACCCTCTTCCACGCACACAGTCTCCCCTGGATCCTCTCTTCCACCCACGCTGTCTCCCCAGGCCCCCCCTCTGGTGCTTCCAGACACTAGGCACCTTGGACGGGATGGCAGTGGTGAGACAGGGGTGTACCGCTCTGGCTAATGAAGGCTGTTTATTGAGTGTTTACTATATGCCAGACCCAGGGTGGACTAGATGCTTTATACACACATTCTCACTAGACTCTCGCACCATGTGACTGTCTTCATGTTACCAGCGGGACACGGGGGTGAGGGTGGTAGGTGATCTGCCTGAGGTGGCTCCTAGCCAAGGCAGAAGCACTTAGACTCCTCACTCTAAGTGCCTGCATCTCAGACCCCCTCAGTTTCTGGACCTCTGAAATGAGGGACTCTGGGGTTACATGCAAGCCTGGAGGAAGGAGGACTCAGCAGATTTGAGACACCTCCCCTCGGGCAGGAAGAGTGGTGGCACTGGGGCTTTGGGCTCACGCAATGCTGTCCCCAGGCATCTGGCCAGGGTGACTGTTCAGAAACAGGGCCACCTTATTTGGAGTGGTTTGAGGATAGAAAGGCTGCCTTGCTTCAAAACACCTCCTCACACTTGTGTCCCAGTCCCTGACATTTCCTCTAACATTCCCATCTGGCTGGACACCTCGATCTTCCATTTCCTCAGAGGGGGCAAGGTTACGCGTTCTCTAAGGGACAGTCCAGCTCTCTGCCAATATGGACTTAGGGATGTTGAAGGCTCTTTGCTGCCTTAATAAAATTGTTAGGAAGGTGTAAGTGCCTCACACCAGTGGCCGCTTGGGGAGATGCCGGTAAGCACCCCAGGAGGAGTGGGCTGAAAGGGAGGTGAGAGGCACCAGGGCCCCATTCTGCTGACTGGGGAGTTCGATGGAGTGAAAGAGTGCAGCGGGGGAGGGGG